AAACGGAGGCTTGGGAACCGCTTTGTGGAACACCTACACTCGGTTCGCACTAAACAGCTGCACCTCCCAGTCGCAAAACATTTCAACTCCCCCTCCCATTTCTTAGACGACATGTCCATCCTGGGCCTCCTGCAGTGCCACAACGATGCCAACCGAAGGTTGCAGGAACAGCAACTCATATTCCGCTTGGGAACTCTGCAGCCCAATGGTATCAATGTGGACTTCACGAGCTTCAAAATCTCCCCTCCCCCTACCGCATCCCAAAACCAGCCCAGCTGGTCCCCGCCTCCCTAACCTGTCCTTCCTCCCACCTATCCCCTCCTCCCACCTCAAGCCCCACCCCCATCTCCTACCTACTAACCTCATCCCGCCCCCTTGACCTGTCCATCCTCCCTGGACTGATCTATCTCCTCCCTAACTCCCCACCTACACTCACCTTTACTGGCCCCATCCCCGCCTCTTTGACCTGTCTGTCTCCTCTCCACCTATCTTCTCCTCTATCCATCTTCTATCCGCCTCCCCCTCTAACTCTATTTATTTCAGGACCCCCTTCCCCTCCCCCATTTCTGAAGAAGGGTCTAGGCCCGAAACGTCAGCCTTCCTGCTCCTCTGATGCTGCTTGGCCTGCTGTGTTCATCCAGCTCTGCACCTTGTTATCTCAGATTCTCCAGCATCTGCAGTTCCTACTATCTCAAAGACCACTTCTGCTGTGCCAGGAGAAATGCTACAGTCTTCTCTCTGTTATCTCACAGTCACTGCACCCACCTCTCACCAAGGCTCATGTGGTGCCACTCTCACTGTTGCCGGCATTTTAATGTCTCAGTAGCAGTCACCTCCCTGAACCTCCCATACTACCAACCCCACTCTGTGCAGACTCCTCATGCCCTCCGGACACCACCATGATCTGCCAACCTGCACCAGGACTAAGAGCCATGCCGCTGACTTTCATCTCTCCCAGCCTTCAGCTCCCATGATGAGAGACTCCTGGCTTTTGCCTACCTTTCTCTCCAGCCCTGGTGTTTGAGATCTCTGTGCCAAGTATGGTCATACACATTGACCCCTGCCTCGAAACCAGGGTGCTCCTGACCATGGGCAAACCCTCTGTTCCGAATGACCACCTTGCCATCATGCTTTTCTCTGTCCTCCCCTTCCAGATACTGTTTCCCCTCTGCATAATAGTCATCTCTCTTTACCCCAGTTTGCAGCCCCAGTCCCAAAGAATAATGTGCTGAGTCTCTTGCCCCCTGCAGCAGACACCCCTGCTACCCACCTTGTCAAGCCCCTTTCCTCAGAGTTTCTGTGTATGGACCCGATGTGGCTGACTGTGGCCCACCCAATGAACTGGCCTTTCTGGACAATTCCTGATGAGATTTGCCCAGACCCTTGACTGGTGGCTGTACATTTCTCTAAGGTGTCTTCATTGGTCAGCACATTGAGTATATGAGTTAGAAGGTCATGTCAAGGCTGTACAGGACATTGCTTAAGCCACTTTTGGAATACTGCGTTCATTTCTGGTCTCCCTGCTATAGGAAAGGTGTTGCTAAACTTGAAATGGTGCAGAAAAGATTGACAAGGATGTTGCTGGGGTTAGAGGGTTTGAGTTATAGAGAGAGGATGAAAAGATGGGGCTATTTTCCCTGGAATGTTGGAAGTTGAGGGTTGACCTTATAGATATTTACAAAATCATGAGGAGAATGGATAAGGTGAATATCCAAGGTCTTTTCCCCAGGGTAGGGGAGACTACCCTGGGAAAAAGATAAAACTAGAGGGCATAGATTTACAGAGAGAGGTGAAAAATTTAAGAGGTACCTAAGAGACAACTTTTTCACACAGAGGGTTATGCGTGTATGGAATGAGCTGCCAGAGGAGGTGGTCAAGGCAGGTACAATTACAACATTTAGAAGGCATCTGGTTGGGTATACGAATAGGAAGGGTTCAGAGGATATGGGCCAAAAGCTGGCAAATGGGCCTAGATTTATCTAAGATGTCTGGTTGTCATGGATGAGTTGGACTGAAGGGTCTGTTTCCGTGCTATACATCTCTATGACTCTATGTGTCAGCTCTACTGCCCCTGGAATGACTGCTGTGGACCTACAGGGTTTACTGTGACCGACTCCCTGGACTGCAGGGGCATGGAGCCCCTGACCGATGACCAACTGCATCTGTCAGGGCGCATGTTGCTCAGGCCTGTGGATCATGCCATGAGATATGTAGCTGGTCAGTTGCAATCTGACTCTGCCAGATACCTGTTCTGATTTCCACGCTGCAGTTTTTGCGAGTTCAGAAACATATCTCCTATTGTTGAGATAGGCCTTGCTGAACTTCTCATCTGATCTGTCACAAATTTCACCATGGCCCATGTTGCTCAGACCCTTGTAAGATTCTACCTTCTGGGTTAGTGGATCATTACCATCATATCCACATGGTTAATTCAACCAGAACTGTAATGATAATTGGAATTACACATGTACCAATGTATAAGCAACAAGTTAAAGATGAGGTGGAAATGATGAGCACTGTGGAGAGATTGAAGATCCTGAGCTGATGACAGATTAATAACATAGGTACTGTGAATTGAGAAAGGGTGGAGGAGGCTAGAATGCTATATATTCATGAATGAATGAATGCCATAGGAAGTATGGATTAGAGAAAGAATGGAAATATGAGAACCATGGGTCAAATAAAGAGATGAGCCTCATATGTTCCATACACCAAAGAGGGAGTGAAACCATGGACTGGGGAAAGATCAGAGTCCATGACCCAAAGAAATGGATAGCATCAGAAGTACTATGACCTGATGATGGATGGTAGTATTGAAATGGAAATGGAGCCATGAGTACCACGATAAAAATTCACAATATGTTGTTATTCTTTGAAAGCATTGGTTCTAGGGCAGAGTAAAATTGTTTTTTAGTTTTCAATTCTGTGAAGGATTGATCGGTTCTTTATAAAAGGGTTATATGGTTATTTTGCACAGTGAGTGAAGGACAGCATTTGCCAAAAAGTCATGTTACTTTAGCTAAATTATTAGCAAGACCCTTTTTTATTTCTTACATCCAGCCATACAATTCTACATCTTCTGATCCAAAGTCATTTCTTGCTATCGTAGTTATTCCATCCTGTACGACAATGCTACCCCACCATCCTTTCTTTCCTGTCTCTCCTTTTGAAAAGTCGCATGTCTCTAAATATTTAATTCCCAGCTTTGATTTCTTTGTAGCAATGTCTCAGTAATGGCTATAAAATCATACCTATTAACCTGCATTTGTGCCATTAACTGGGGAAGGCAATGGCCTAGTGGTATTATCACTGGATTGCTAATCCAAAGACTGAGATAATACTTTGGGGATCCAGGTTCAAATCCTGCAGCAGCAGATGGTTGAGTTTGAATTCAATAAAATTCTGGAATTTAGAGTTTAATGATAATCATGAATCCATGGTCAATTGTCAGGAAAAACCCATCTGGTTCACTTTAATGCCCTTTAGGGAAGGAAATTGCCATCCTTACCTGGTCTGGCACACATGTGACTCCAGATCCTCAGCAATTTAATTACCTCTTAATTGCCCTCCAAACAATTAGGGATGGGCATTAAATGTTGGCTTAGCCAGCAACACCCTCACCCATCAATGAAAAAATGTTTCATTTATTGCGTTCTGAGTACTGCATGTTTTGAAGGAAAAAGCTGTTAATTTTGCCTTTTTACCATCTTCTCCTACCTTGAGCCTATTTCTTGCTGTTTTTCTATGTTTGCATACTCTGTGCCTTCCCATCCCATTCTGGGAATCATTATCCAAATAGTTGCCCTGTGATGCTGCCACAAATGCTATCCTGTTTGCTGACTTGAGTTTTGCAATCCAGAAAGATGGACAAAAGGGGGCCCAGAAGCAGGTTCATTCAGTCAAAGGCAAGTTATTTCAGTGGAACATATCTATAGTAGCAGAGGTGCTGTTAGTTTAGCAGTCTCCATAACTGTCAGGGATGGGAAAAAGTCTGAAGTTGCTTAGAAGAAAGCTATTCACAGAAGGCTATACAATTTTTGTAGATGAAAACATCCTATAAGGCTGTTGAATATATCAGGCTAAAGAACCTATGTTAAGTAATGTGAGCAGGGTTAGCAGCTTGGTTAAAGGAATTAGGAAAAGACATTAACTAAAGAAAATCGCATCAAATGAATACAGAAATTTGATGAAAAGAAATCAATTCCAGTCATGCTAGGAGAACACGCAGCTGCAGTATGGAAACAAGAATGACCCTTCACCAAGTTCTGAGTGTCAGTAATGTTGTTCTGTGGGTAAAAGAGTTGAATCTTTCTTTCTGTTGCACATAATGAGGTCATTAGACTGTACTGTGCTGTACAGTTCTTTGTTCTATGTTCTATGTTCATTTCAAATAGTTTTTATATAGTGTGGTCATCTTTTTTTAAGATGATAAGCTTTTATGTTATTTTACTAAAAATGCATTGGCAGCCTGTTGTGAGTATGTTCAGTGATTAACATCCATGGTAAACAGAATGAAAAGAAACAAATGGCTTGTGGATAACCAGGTGTAGAGCTGGATGAACACAGCAGGCCAGGCAGCATCAGAAAGCAGGAAAGCTGACGTTTCGGGTCTGGACCCTTCTTCAGAAATGGCTTGTGGAGCCAGGTTATGCTCTGGGATCTGATTTGTGCAGTGGGATCTTGACAATGTCATACTTTCCAATACGTGGCTGGCACAGTGAATGCCATGGGCTGAGGCCAGCAGGACAATAGGCTGTGAAGGAGGACCATCGACTGAAAGAGGGTTGAGCAACGTAAGTAGAATACCTTTGCTGGAGACCAAGACCAGCCTGTGCCTTTGCAGTGTCACCATATTGAACCATTCCCTGTTGAACGATAAAGAACCTGTTCATATTTTATTCAGTGAAATGATGTGCTGAGTCAGTTAATGCTGAACCAATTTGATTAATTTTCTAGATTCAAATTTAACTCATCCGAATCCCTTTCTTTTTCATTGTTAGGGCTACACAAGAAAAGGTCGCAAGTGAGGAAGATTATGAAGGGACAGACCACGGTGACCTGCAGGGATTCAATTCTTTCCATCAATACCTTCAGCTCCTCAGGGCTTTCTCACAGCCAGCTAATCCCATGACATCTCATAAGAGCAGAACTGACAAGGTTGGTATTGATTTTCATCTCTGTCTTTAAAAGTGGTCAGAAATATATAGCTGGCTTGGACAGTTAACTGTCACATAAAGCCATAAAATGCATTGCAATATATGGCAGCAATAGTTCTTTATTGATGACAAGAGTACAGTAGCTTGTGCATCCTGTAACCCCCTTGGGAAGCAGACATAGGATAATAAAGAATTGGCAGTGACATACTGTGGGACCCAAGTTTCTCCCTCAATGCTGCACACTCATGCCCTGCACAACCATGTTCTTTCTCCTATTGTCTACCAACTCGCGATACCCGACTAAATTGATTTCAAGATCCTCTGATTTTCTGGGGCCTTTCCCCCATTGAATTCGGTGGTTTCCTCTCAGGACGGTATCTTGTTGTGATGTTGGGTTTATTTTCCACGTTGGCTGGTTTCGGGAAGTCCCCACTGATGGACGTCCCACTACCTCAAAGATACACCTACTGTGATGGCGAAAGGCAGGCATGCAGTAGGGTTAGTCCCAGCTATGGAGGGGTGCATTTATTGGCTTACTCTCCCAGAACATCATCCTGGTAAAATAAAACAGGATTCAGGTATACCACCACCAACCCCCTAATTACATAGAATCATAGAACAGGATTTGGCCATTTGACCCATCAAACTTGCTGCACCATTGAGTATTATCAATGCTATTTTCCTTCTTTCTCCTCATCCCCTTTATACTTTTAAAATCTAAAAAAAATTATCCATCTCCTTCTTGACTATATTCTGTGACTTGGTTTCCACAGCCTTCTGTGGGTTGAGAATTTCTATCCTCTTCTGTGAGACTCTGACTACTGGTTCTAGAGTTCCCCAGGGAAAACGTTCTGCATCTAGTCTGTCCAGCTGTGTTGAAATTTTATGCATTTCTGTCAGGTCCCCTGTCACCCTTCTAAACTCTAGTGAAAGACCCAAGTAAACCCAAGCTCTCATCATATGACAGCCTCCAGTATCAGCCCAGTGAGCCCCCCACTGCACTCCCTTCATGCCAAGTATATTCTTTCTTAGCTAGGGACACCAAAACAGCACATGTGGTCTCACCAAGGCCTTGTATGACTGCAATGAGACATTCTGGCTTATAAACCCTCAACTCCTCTTGAAATGAAGGCAAATACACCATTTGCCTTCCTAATAGTTTGCGGCACCTGCTTGGCTACTTACTGGGACTGGTGTACAAGAACTGCCAGTTCTTTTTGTACATCCACACTTCCCAATATCTCATCATTTAAATAATACTGTGTGTCAACGAGGAGGGCAAATCACTCAGCATCCAGGTCCATTACAAACATTCAATGGTTTATTTTTACACTGGTGGGGAGTAGGTTGCTGGGTCCACCGTGCACTTCTCCACTCAGAAAAGGAAAACGTACACTTCTTATACTTTTACATCAGCCGATCTTGGCTGGTTACAAACCAATCACCAATATGAATTGATTACATACAGATCCAATCATGTTAAGAATTAGGTATTATGCAGCTACATGATCAGTTCATGGACAGAGCTACATCATCTCAGGATGTTAACCAGACACCATTCCAACCATCCTTGGGCCTTCACAATAAGTCTCAGTGCTCAGGATTTTCTTATCTCAACCACATACCTTGCTTGTTTCTCCTCGCAGTCAGTTTTTCAGCTCAACTGTCTGCATGCTGATGTGATGCTCCTGCTAAATGAGCTTTACTTTCTCTAGCTGCAGTAACTGGATCTCCTCAGAAATGTAGTCACGTTAGTCAAGTCCCGCCATGCCTCACTTCAAGTGGTACTCCATTTCATAATATACAACAAATATTTGGCTATATGTAACAGCCTCGACTATGGCCTTGGAAGGATATATTGGCCTTGGAGGGAATACAGTGTAGGTTTACAATATTGATATCTGAACTTCAGCAGATAAGTTATGAGGAGACATTATATAAATTGGGCCTGTTTTCTCTGGACTTTAGACAAACTGGTTTGAGGTTGTAGAACTAGAGGCCATAGTCTGAGAACTGGGGCCAGACCATTCAGGTGACATGTTAGGAAGCACTTCTACATACAAAGGGTGGTAGATGTTTGGAACTCTCTTTCACAAATAGCAGTGGATGCTAGATCAGTTGTTAAATTTAAATCCAAGACAGATGATTTTGTTAAGCAAAGGTATTAAGGATATGGGCCAAAAACAGATATTTGGAATTAGGCCACAGATCAGCCACGATCTCATTGAATGGCAGAACAGGCTCGAGGGGCTCAATTCAGGCCCTGAAGAAGGGTAATACCCGAAATGTTGACTGCTCCTTCCTTCCAGATGCTGCCTGGCCTGTTGTGTTCTTCCAGCCTCCTGTTTGACTACCTTAGATTCCAGCATCTGCAGATGTTTTTTGTCTCTAATTAGTTGCACTAACTCTGGCCTTGTCTTCAAACTCTTCTGGCAGTCTGTCTTCCCACATTTAGCTTTGATCGACACATCTGAGATGCTTCTTCCCACTTCGAGCATTCTCCTCTAAAGCTCTGAGTATTTCTGACTGCTGTTTTAGCTTTGCTGATCTGCATTGGTTGGATGCTAATCATTGTTTCGACAAATCTCATAGGTCCCTTTCGTTTCTCCCGTACCTATTTTAACACCACTCAAGTATTGCCTGTTTTGGCTCTGTTTCTATGTGCCAGATTTCCTGAGTCACTGCAATTTTCAGTTGAACCTTTTTATTCATATGGACATTTGATAATCCTTCACCAACGTAATGCTATGAGAAAGAACTTCAATGTATATTTAACACTGTTATCTTTGAAATGCCCAACAGGGCTTCAGGTACAATGAAAAGGTTTGTATTGCAAATGCTGTTGTTTTGTAGGTAGGCACAACAGCTGTTTGTGAATGCGACAATGTCAGAACAATGAATGCAAGTCAAATGATTCATTAATTGAGATAACAGGGTGTAGAGCTGGATGAACACAGCAGGCCAAGCAGCATCAGAGGAGCAGGAAAGCTGACGTTTCGGGCCTAAACCCTTCTTCAGATTTTTCTGAAGGAATGAGCAGAAAGATCTCGGTGTCCATGTGCATAGATCACTGAAAGTTGCCACCCAGGTTGATAGCGTTGTTAAGAAGGCGTACAGTATGTTAGGTTTTATTGGTAGAGGGATTGAGTTTCAGAGCCATGAGGTCATGTTGCAGCTGTACAAAACTCTGGTGCAGCCGCACTTGGAGTATTGCGTACAGTTCTGGTCACCGCATTATAGGAAGGATGTGGAAGCATTGGAAAGGGTGCAGAGGAGATTTACCAGGATGTTGCCTGGTATGGAGGGAAGGTCTTATGAGGAAAGGCTGAGGGTCTTGAGGCTGTTTTCGTTAGAGAGAAGAAGGTTAAGAGGTGACTTGATAGAGACATACAAGATGATCAGAGGATTAGATAGGGTGGACAGTGGGAGCCTTTTTCCTCGGATGGTGATGGCTAGCACGAGGGGACATAGCTTTAAATTGAGGGGTGATAGATATAGGACAGATGTCAGAGGTAGGTTCTTTACTCAGAGAGTAGTAAGGGCGTGGAATGCCCTGCCTGCAAAAATAGTAGACTCGCCCACTTTAAGGGCATTTAAATGGTCATTGGATAAACATATGGATGATAATGGAATAGTTTAGGTTAGATGGGGTTCAGATTGGTTTCACAGGTCAGCGCAACATCGAGGGCCGAAGGGCCTGTACTGCGCTGTAATGTTCTATGTTCTATGTTCTATGTTCTATTTTAACTGAACTTGAGTGGGTAGTGTCTAGGTGGCTACATCACTATATACTGGCCAGACATTCACTCTAGCAATGCTGAAAAAGTCTAAAATTGGAGGAAGACTTGTGTTCTATAATATTGAAGGTTAAGAATATAACCAGTTCTAAAGAACACACCTACTGGACTGTAATCTGTCAGTGCAGATCATAAACTCTGCCATCATTTTTCCAGAGACTTGACGAGGGAGAATTGAATAAAAAATGATAGATTAATCTGTAGATGGCAGGTGGAAGAAATATAACTGTAAAGTGAATTGAATTGAATTAGCTTTAGCTTTATTGTCATATGTTCTCAAATGACTACAGTGAAAAGTTTGTAAGTCACCATTTACAGCACCAGTTTAGGTACAAAGGCACCTAAGTACAATCCTTAGTTACCGAATAGAGAAAATGAAGAACCATAGGTCAAATAAACAAGAAACAAAGTTAAAAAGACAAACATCACAGATAATGAATGTAGTTTGTCACTTTTTCTCTCAGAAACCATTGCTTTCCACCCATTATAGTGAATGGAGGAAAAGCAGGCAGGTTTAGAAGTGCATATATGGAAAATTTAGCCATGAAATTTGGACAGAATGTTTTAAACCAAGCACCCTGATTGTAGGCTTCCCTCCACCCTTAAACAGAAAGGTAATAAGAGCTAATGACCGAGATTTTATTCACCTAAATTAGCTTGTTGATAACAATGTTTTTTTTGAAAGCCAGCACCACATCCTGATGATTTTGCAAATCGTGTTGCTGTCTTGTGTCTTGGTGACAGAGTGAGACCGCTCAGTCGAGTCCCTTCCTGGACGACTTCCTGCAAAGTAACCGGGAGAAATCTCCATCAAGTCATTTCCTCGCATTTCACCATCAATTTCCCGACAACAAACAAGCTCAACCTGGGCCCTTGAGACTTCTCAAGCAAGAGAGAAGCAAGCTTCAGGCACAAGGGCATGCCCCTGTCAGTGAACCCATCGACAAAAAGCAACTGATACCACTCCTGGAGAGTTATTTGACCCAGAAACTGGCAGTGCAGGCGGCCATGACAGGGAATGATCCAGATGTCAGGCTTAAGGAAGCACTGGGCTCATTAAGGAGCAAGCAGCAGGAAGGACCGAATAAGGACAGCCAGGGAGGTTATATGAGGATCGAAGCGCTTCATCCGAAAGTTGATGACAGGTTGCCAGAGGTGAAAGAGGAGAAAGTGCTGCATAAATCCAGCGCAGGGAAAATCAATGGAAACAATCTGCTGAGCAACGTGGATGGTATGAATAAAAATTAAGATAAAAACATTTGAATTGTACCAAGTAAAAATTGGTGGATTATAAAGGCTATTGGTAAACCATTTCCCATGGAACCATGGAATTTTACAGCACAGTAGGAGGTCAATTTGCAATTCACACTCATTTGGCTATGACCAAAATCACACACTCTACATTGATTGAAGCATTTCCATGGAACCATAGAGTTTTACAGCACAGTAGGAGATCAGTCTGCACTTCACATACATCCAAGCCCTGACTGAAAGAACAATCCCGTTTTGTCTCTGAACCTGTAACTACCTTCCTTTTAAAATCTATTGTGGTTTTGCATTCTACTTCTGCATTACAAAAACATGTTGCCAGGTAAATTGCAGAACAGTAAAAGAGCATGCGAGGGCAAATTATGTGTTCTTTTCATGTACAGCCATTGCACTCAGCTGTGTTGTTATTGTATGGTGGTGATGCCCATTTGGAAATCTGTGAATGACTTGGATTTATGGGCTGGATGTCATTGGATTCTGGGCAACGTGTTCCTGGCCACAGCCAAGTAAGAGGCAGGCACCAGGATCACTGTCCAAGTAAGGACTGTGCTGCAGACACCACACCCCCCCCCCCCAAGCAATGACAGGCCAATGAGAGGGCTTCGTACTGCCGTGGCTAGCAGTGGTCATTGCTGAGGCTGCACGGCCAGGGAAAGGCTACCTCAATGAGGTGGCTGTCTCAAAGAGACAACAAGGTGCAGGGCTGGATGAACACAGCAGGCCAAGCAGCATCATAGGAGCAGAGAGAGCTCTTTTTGGGTAAGAAATGCCAGAGCCGAGCAGGTAGGCCCAGATGGGAATGGGGGAGAAGAGCATTGTGGTTCATTGCTGTGAGCGTGGCCATTGCTGCTGGGTATTCCCCCAATGGGCTGTGGATCCATCCATCCACCTCTGAGTCTTCCCACCCATCCACCTCCGGGTCCTCACACTCATCCACCTCCGGGTCTTCACACCCATCCACCTCCGGGTCTTCACACATATCAGTGGGCCCTTGGGCAAAATCCCTGTGGAGGCAGGAACCCACCACTTAATTGACTACTTAAATTGCTCAATAACAGGCAGATGGAGAGGCAAGAAGTCAAGTACCTTGTTACCAAGTCACATTCCCACTAGTTATGACCCAAATCACACACTCTACATTGATTGAAGCATTTTCATAATTCTGGTATTGAAAACTTGTTCCAGTCTCAAAGAGTCCACTGACATCACTCACGTACATATGGTGATGATTCAGTAATTCTGCAACTTCCCATTATTTATCTAATTTTCAAAGTCTTCAGGAGTGTTTCCAGTAAGTGTTGTGCTACTTTCTGGCTCATTCAGCCATCTCACTCTGCTATAAATTTTTAAGTTTGTTCTTATATGTGAGTGTCGCAGGCTAGACCAGTATTTATTGTCCAACTTTAATTGAGAAAGTGGCGATGAGCTGTCTTCTTGACCTGCTCTGTCTGCATGGAGTACATGGATCAGCCATGATCCCATTGAATGGCGGACTAGGTTCGAGGGGCCAAATGGCCTACACTGTTCCCATTTATTAAGGTCTTATTGCATCCACAGTGATCCTTGTTCTGTGGTGGTTTAATACAACTGAGTGGCTTTCTAGGCAACTTCAGGGTGCATTTAAACACCAACCATTTTCCTGTGGGTCTGGACTTGCATGTGAGCTCGACTGGGTGAGGATTAAAGATGTTCACCCACCCAGGAGCACACTGAACGGGATGTCCATATATTCTTCTTCATTTTTCGAATACATGATCAAAATGGTCCTAATCTGCATTCTGTTTCCTGTCAGAAAATTTCATTCATTCTGTGGTGCAGCAGCTTGGGACACAGCATGTAAACCTTGACAGTCTGACTTCCAAACAGCTGGATGAATTGTCCGATGTCATTGCTGGTGCCTTGCAAGTTGTAGACGATGAGACTACCCATGATGGCAGCAGGAACAGCTTCGAGATTGAGCAAGAGCTTCGACAGAAGGAAGAAGAGAAAGCGATGAAGAGAACTGAGCTCAATCTGGGTAAGTAGGAATCACTTTAGAGCTCTTTACTTTTGTGGACAAAATAATACTGTGTTGTTGTTAATTCTGTGCAGATACGCTGGAAAGGTTTTTTTTTCCAAAAGTTAGTAAAAGTTCTTATTTCCTGCCAGCTTTCCCTCTAAAGATGGTACAGGTCAGACTCTCAAACACTGACACTGTACAAGACCAGAAATTGTTTTGGACCTGACAGTCTGACTCTGGAGTAGACATCAAATAGCGTTGTACATTTGCAGCAACTGTCTGACATTACTAGGCGTGTTGATAAGTAGCTCTGATAGATCACCAGTCTCCATATTGAGGACTTCACTGCAAAATTCTACACAGAAACAAATTGGGCTGGGAATATATTTCATCATCAGGACTAGGTGATGAACTCATTGTCAGTGCACCAGTATTGTGTAAATGAATTGATCAAAAACAACAAGCAACTTGCATTGATAGAGCGCCTGTAATGCAGCAAACATTCCAGGCTACTTACGAGGAGCACGATCACATTTTGACATCAAGCCACAGAAGGAGATAATAGAATAGGTGAAAAAGTGGGAAGGTATGGAGGAGCATCTTAAAGGATGAAAGAGAGATAGAGAGTACTAGGAGAGGTACAAAGGTAAATATACAGTTGTGGGAAGCTACAGAAACTGACTGCCTATCCTTTAAGCTTCCCTGTGTAATAGTTAGCTTCAGATACAGTCAAGGTGACCTTTGCACAATGCACAATGCAATCAGACTGGTCACTTCTGGATCTGGAATGCTTGGTATTAGCTGCTGAGATGATGTGGGATGTTAAATCAGAAGAATATTAATGACACCATTATGGAAGCCTTAGCTTTGAGTGAGAATGTGCACTGAACTGGGTCAGTGAACTAATGGAGTCAGGCTCTCCCAGGGAAAATGGTGAAAAACAGAATTGAACAAATGTTTCATTTTGTCCTCACTTTAGGCACAATCATGCTTTTACCTGGATTTTGGTGCCTAGCCGATTGCAACGTGCAGAAGTTGACAAGAACGAACGTGAAGTGCAGTTCAATGATGTGCTGTAACTTGATTGAAGAAATTCCTAAAGGAAGAGTCAGTCCTGTGCCATTGGGCTGTTAAACAGCAGTAACTTTAATATAGGATTGCCATTTAAGCAGCAGGCGTTATACATCCATAGACTGCCATCAACCCTCTGTCTTTCATCAAACTGAACTCACTGGGCTTTAGAGAATTGACATTTGTGGTTATTCTTTATCACAATCACAAATGTGCTAAATACATCCCATGAAGTAGACCCTGGGTTCTGTATGACTTCAGAGCCCCAGAGTGGTCAGAAATGCAGGCGAGCAGTGCTGTTTTTTCTTTATTGTTGCCAGTTTGTTCTGTTTGAATCTTGTACTCTTGGTGGTTTGGAAGAGACATCTTTCACACTTTTGCCTCACGTAAGAATTAAACTGGTTCAGAAGAGATTTACCAGAATGTTACTGGGATTGGAAGGTTTGAGTTATAAAGAAAGGCTCGATAGGCCGGGGCTTTTCTCACTGGACGGTAGGAGGTTGAGAGGTGACCTTATATGAGTTTATAAATCATGAGGGGTATAGATAGGGTTAATGGTAGGTGTCTTTTCCCCAGGATGGGGGAATTAAAGACTCGGGAGCATATTTTGAAGGTGAGAGGAGAGAGATTTAAAAAAGACATGTGGGCAGGTTTTTTACATAGATAGTGGTTTGTGTGTGGAATGAACTTCCTGAGGAAGTGATGGATGCAGGCACAGTTACAGCGTTCAAAAGATGCTTAGATAAGTATGTGCATAGGAAATGTTTGGAGGGATATGGGCCAGGAGCAGAAGATGGGACAAGTTTAGTTTGGGATTATGTTCAGCATGGACTGGTTGGACTGAAGAGTTTGTTTCCCTGCTGTATGACTTATAAGAGATGATAGTACCGACAATGTGATACATATACAAATGAATTGGAGTGGAGACATTAACTCAACGTGCTGCACCCCAGGCCTTTAAGTGGGCCAGAAGAGAAAAGATTGTACATACCTCTATAAGCAATAATCTTCAGGAGTGCTCTTGAACTAATACATTTGATTCAACACAAAGGTTTGGACCATACTTTGGACCAAAGTGATCCTTTTTTGAGGTGAACGACATACCTTTCATTTGAATTGTTATTAATGTTCATACATTTGTAATAGCTCAGTAACTTACCCTTTTGAAAAGTCACAACCTGATAAATTGGCCTTGATTTTTAACCCTAAGGCAGTCGGGCTGAGCCAGAACATTTCCCAGCTCTCTGCAGCTGACTCAGGAAAAATTGTCCTGAATGGCGGAATCTTCATTCTGGGGGTGCAGGATGGAGTTGAATCTGTTGTACCTTGACACTTGGCTATTATAATGATAGCAGTTAGGGATATAGAGTCATCGAGATGTACAATACGGAAACAGACTCTTCGGTCCAACTCGTCCATGCCAACGAGAGGTCCTAAATAAATCTAGTCCCATTTACCAGCATTTGGCCCATATCCCTCTAAACCCTTCCTATTCATATACCCATCCGGATGCATTTTAAATGTTGTAATTGTATCAGCCTCCACCACTTCCTCTGGCAGTTCATTCCATACACACACCACCCTCTGCATGAAAAAGCTGCCCCTTAGGTCCCTTTTAAATTGTTTCCCTCTCACCTTAAACCTATGCCCTCTAGTTTAGGACTCCCCCATCCTCGGGAAAAGACCTTTGGCTATTCACCCTATCCATGTTCCTCATGATTTTATAAACCTCTATAAGGTCACCTCTCAGCCTCTGACGCTCCAGAGAAAATAGCCCCAGTCTATTCAGCCTCTCCCTATAGCTCAAACCCTCCAATCCCAGCAACATCCTTGTAAATCTATTGTGAACCCTTTCAAGTTTAACAACATCCTTCCTATAGCAAGGAGACCAGAATTAAATGCAATATTCCAAAAGTAACTGAACCAATGTCCTGTACAGCCGCAAAAGACCTCCCAACTTCTATGCTCAGTGCGCTGACCAATGAAGGCAAGCATACCAAATGCCTTCTTCACCACTCTGTATACTTGCAACTCCACTTTCAAGGAACTACAAATGTGCACTCCAAGGTCCCTTTGTTCAGCAACACTTCACAGGACCTTACCAGTTAGTGTATAAGTTCTGATTTACCCTACCAAAATGTAGCACCTCACATTTATTTAGGTTGAACTCCATCAGCCACTCCTCAGCCCATTAGCCCATCTGATCAAGGTCCCATTGTATTCTGAGGTAACCTTCTTCACTGTCCACTACACCACCAATTTTGGTGTCATCTGCAAATTTACTAATCATACCTTCTATATTCACATCCAAATCCTTTATATAGATGATAGAAAGCAGTGGACCTAGCACCGAACCCTGTGGCACATCGCTGGTCACAGGCCTCCAGTCCAAAAAGCAACACTCCACCACCACCCTCTGTCTCCTACCTTCAAGCCAATTTTGTATCCAAATGGCTAGATCTTCCTGGATTCCATGTGATCTAACCTTGTTAACCAGTCTACCATGCGAAACATTGTCCAACACTGAAATCTATAAGACAATGTCCACCGCTCTGCCTTCATCAGTCCTCTTCGTCACTTCTTCAAAAAAACTCAATCAAGTTAGTGAGATCCAACTTCCCATGCACAAAACCATGTCGACTAACCCCAATCAGTCCTTGCCTTTTCAAATACGTGGAAATCCTGTTCCTCAGAATCCCCACCAACAGTTGCCCACCACGGACGTCAGGCTCACCGGTCTATAGTTCCCCGTCTTTTCCTCACCACCTTTTTTAAATAATAGTGCCACGTTAGCCAACCTCCAGTCTTTTGGCACCTTGCCTGTGGCTATTATTGATACAAATATCTCAGCAAGGGGCCCAGCAATCACTTCCCTAGCTTCCCACAGAATTCTAGGGTACAGGTGATCTGTAAAGAAACAGCTATTGAATCTGCTATCAAAGATTTTTTTTCAACTCTTACAGAAACAGGAAATCTTTTTTTCAGTTGTTAAAGAGTTGGTCATTTAGATGACTTGACAGCTTGACAGTTCTACACATCTTGTCCATCCTTCATGAGGTTTGCAAATCACAGACTGAGGGATAAGCCCTTGCTGCAATGAAAATGAGTTCAGATGGCCATGTTGAGTTCCAGTTTCCCAGAGATAGTAGGAACTGCAGATGCTGGAGAATCCGAGAGAACAAGGTGCAGGGCTGGATGAACACAGCAGGCCAAGCAGCATCATTGGAGCAGGAAAGC